GGATGGCAAAGGAAATTTCCAATATTAAAACAGGAAGTTAATGAGACTCTATCGATTGTTAAGTGGGGTGCTACCTGACTTGGCGGCCAAAAAGTGTCTACATTAAGAGGCCAGAACGATCACGTTACAAAGTTGTGCCATAGTAGCCTTTTTATCATTCTAACGGTTCCGCGAACAATAAATAAAAAAAAAGAAAATTAAACAGAGATGCCTGTGTAGTCTTTACCGTCAGAAAGCTTATGATGAAGAAAAATAAACGTTTATCTAATTTCAATCGCTTAATTAGGATGGCAAAGGAAATTTCCAATATTAAAACAGGAAGTTAATGAGACTCTATCGTTTGTTAAGTGGGGTGCTACCTGACTTGGCGGCCAAAAAGTGTCTACATTAAGCGCGCAGTCAGAACGATCATGTTACAAAGTTGTGACGTAGAAAATTGTGAAGACACGTCGCCAATAATGGCGGAGAAAGGATAAATCGAGAAGAACAGACGAACGTATTGCGTGGCCGGAGCGCCAAATGATGTTAGCTACAATGATGTTACGGCCATTGGACTTCTCGTCCTTATGCTTCCGCTACAAGCTGCAGGGAGAATCTTAGAAAATCCTTAATGACAGTATAAGCTATGTTTTAAGCCTTTTTTATCATTAAAAAAGGAACAGTAAGGAACAGTAGGAACAGTAAGTAAAAAAAAATATTAAACAGAGATGCATGTGTAGTCTTTACCGTCAGAAAGCCTATGATGAAGAAAAATAAACGTTTACCTAATTTCTATCGCTTAACTAGGCTGGCAGGTGCAAAGGAAATTTCCGAAATTAAATGTTAATGAGACTCTATCTATTATTAAGTGGGGGGCCACCTGACTTGGCGGCCAAAAAGTGTTTACATTAAAGGCCAGAACGATCACGTTACAAAGTTGTGCCATAGTAGCCTTTTTTATCATTCTAACGGTTCCGCGAACAATAAATAAAAAAAAAGAAAATTGAACAGAGATGCCTGTGTAGTCTTTACCGTCAGAAAGCTTATGATGAAGAAAAAT